TCTTATGTGACTCAACGTGCTAAGTGAATTGCATGTCTACTTTGCTTTCCTAGCTTTCTTTAATTCCTTTTACTTATGTCATTTACTTTTTGTTTTCATTAAGTTATTCTTTTAATGGGGTATGTGTACACCTCTTGGCTTGTAATAGATAGGGTTTGGCGAGCAATTTGGTCCATTTTCCCCTTCCCCTTTTGTTTTAGTTAGTGAATGTAATAAGTTCATTAGCTTGGTTGCATGCCTATGTGTTACGTGTTACTTGCTTTATTAGGTTTGCATCTAGTCAAGCATGTTAAGTGCTACGTGCTACGTGTTTATGAGTGTTTGGCATGTCTACTAGCTTTCCGTAGTGTAGATGAATGGAATGGATGAATGTACGTTTCCACTAGTCCAACGCTAGTCGGAATTCATAGAATGGGCTAGTCCAATGCTAGACCCTTAGGGATTTCCCTCGTTAGTACATGTTTGCATGTTCATTACATGTCATGCATTCTTTTTAGTTTTATCATTTTTGCATGCTCCTCGATTCCCCTTTCCCCTCACTTTAGGTCGTACATCTCATGCTAGTTAGGGTACATTTGCCTGAAGAGTCCCCTTCTGATAAGGGAAACGAGCGAGCGTGGCTACTCGATAGCCTTAGCACGCTAGTTTTGCTTTCTAATCAAAGGGAAAATCGAAGTCGAAAAAGTTAGGAGTCATTCCCATACCCGACCTGATGCATTTCTTTAGGTTCATTCATTCTCATTTATCACTTACTCATTTTTTTATTCACATTTCCTCATCACTTTTCCTTTCCTTATTGTTCATTTTGATTTCTACTTCACAAAATTGCACTTAATTACACCTATATGCACTTATCACTATATTTCATACACTTGGATTTTTCATACAATTTCACACTTGCACCTTTTCATACACTTGAACACTTACACTTTAGCCATCATTTGCATTAATCGACCTCTATAAGGTTTTCCTTTATTGGCCGCCACAATTCATGTGGTTGGGACCATAAACCTTGCAAGAGACATTTTAGAATTTAGGTTTGCATTTTTTCTTTCTTTTGCATTCATGTAGTGCATCCAAATGTAATAAATTCTTTGGTTAAAATAAGAAAAACTTTGATTAAATCACGCAACTAGCCTTGGCTAGGTCGAAGGGGTGCCTTGGATTTTATCCTTGCCTTCCCCTTCGTCAAATGAACTCCCGAACCTTTTTTTTGGTTTACGTGGACTAGGAGTCGTTTAAAAGGGGTTTCTTATAACTTTTTTCTAAAAAATCCATTTTTAGGTGACTTGGTACACCTTAACTCATTACCAAGTGGCAACTCCCATTTTTTCAAAAACCCTTTTAAACTATAATTTTGGGTCAAATCGTCGCATTTTCAAACCCCCATTTAGACCCATTTTTCTTTTAAATCACGATTCATTTTCCAATCACAAAATACATTTTTAAACCATTTATTTATTTATCAAAAAATGGGGCGCGACAGAGCTTAAGTAGTAGACTCATAGAATAGAGGTACATTTAAGTGGATTAACTTTGCATTTTATAAAAAACAAAGAGTAGATCTAGTTATTCACCATGAGAATAAGGAAAATAGTCTAGACTAAACCATTTCATTATTAGAATGAGTTTTGGTAACATTGGAAATGAATCCTAAATTGAACAAGAGTAATAATAGAGAGGTAAATCTATTCACTTGTATCTTTTTGCCATAAGTGGACTCTACATCCCTAAAGTCAAGTATTTAATGAAATTTCTTCATTGTGTCTTGCAAGTTAATTAGTTCGATAACTTAAGCTGTAAGTAATTGCTATTTCTCTTGCTTTTATTGGTAGTTAGTCTAAATAATAAAGTAAGTAAGGTCTTAGTACTTGTAAAAGTTACTTTTTGTGGGATCGACTCGATATATACCCTAAACTACTATTTGACGTGTATACTTGCAGTCAAATGGGTATATTTTGAAATTAAACTTGTACTCATATCTAGAACCCATCAATGCTAATTTCATTTTGGAATTATATTTATACTTTTTGAACTAGTGTTAAATTTCAATTTTCATTGCAAAGTTAACACTTTAAAATTATCACAATTAATGGCCGATTAATCATGATTAGAAAAGCAAAAGTGATAAATTATTTGCTCAAAATAACATCATCAATTAACCAAATAAATATCATTAATAAGATATAGAAAGTTGATCCATAAATCTACTTCGTCCAATTGCAAGACCTACTTTGTCCAATTTTTGTCACTCTGTCTCCACACTTGCCTCTGCTGCTCCTCCATTGCTGCTGTAATCACCTTTATTCCTCTCATCCTTACTTTTTGGGCTCTCTTCTTCAGCTCTTCCGGTTTCCCAAATTTCAGACACATTTAGGGCTTGTGAAAGGTAACTTTATCTTTGAAATTTTTTCAATTAATCATTGGTTATGGGCTCTATTACATAGCTTTGTTTCATTGGAAAATATGCTTTGACTGATTGAATAACCTTAACAACTCTATATAAAGGAGCAATTCCAAGAGAGTAATTCTCTTCCTTTTTTCATAACTTGATTATTTTTTTTTCTTTTCATCTTTGCAATTCTGCTTGTTTTTTCGTGAAAAAGGCTTCAATGTTTCTGAATTCTTGATGTGCTCTGTTGACGTCGGGGCCTATTTTGCGCTACAAATTTTTGCAATCAGTGCTAATAAAAAATCTTGCGCCATTACTCCTTTCATGACTTCCACAATGAAAGGAATAGCAGTTTCTTCCTTGTTGAAAAGCCAAGGAAAATTTTTACAGAAAACTAGTGCAGAAAGCCTAGAGTAGTAGTAACGGATAAGATTGATTTTTTGCCCTATGTGCAGCATGCGTGTAAACTTTGAAATCCAACTCGTCATTAAGAAACGAACTGTGAACTTGGGATGAATAGTCTTTAAAATACACAAATATTGGCTTGCTATCTTTTCTGCTGCATTTCCTTACGTTGTGTTCAGTAAGTTGCTACTTTACATGATCGCTAATTCATGACTGTTGGTGTTTTAATTTACATATAGACTTAACTATTACCTCCTAGTTAATGAAAAAAGTTGTATAAAGAGTTTGACTGTTGTATGTTTGTCCATTTTTAAATTTTCTGAGACAATATTTGGAGAATACTTGCTTTTATGTTAATTGAGTTTGCAGTTCTAGTGGTTTACTGTTGTGACTAAGTAGCTACGGAATTGCGGCCGGTTACCAGTGTCGCTGATGGTGGAGGCGGTGGCTCGACCCTCTGCCGAGGGTGGGCAACCTTCGAGTCGCCGGCCTTTCGCACGAAGACATTCTCCGATCTGTTCTCTTCTCCCAGCAACGGGTTTCAATCACAGCGACGGTATTGACCATCGTGGGAAGCCAGCGGTGTCCTTCTCTTCCACTGCCATTGAGGCTGTCGCGTTACCTTTCCGGTTTGCACTGGTAGGCAAGTTTTCCCGGGCCAGACCTCGCATGGAGGATGTCAGGAAATTCTTTGCTCGCTGGACTTGAAAGACTCCTTCTCCGTGGGTTTGTTGGATGCGCGGCACGTTTTGATTAAGCTACACAATGAATCAGATTTTTTGCGAGTTTGGACGCGCAATGTGTGGTATGTGTTTGGAAGCCCAGTGAGGGTGTTCAAGTGGTCCTCTAACTTCCATGTTGATAGGGAGTTTTCTTTGGTACCCCTCTGGTTCAGTCTTCCAAAGCTCCCAGTGCACTTGTTTGATAAGCAATGTCTGTTCCAGATCGTGTCATGCCTGGGGCGTCCACTCTTCATTTATTCGGCAACTTCGGCGTTAACCAGACCCAGTGTGGCTAGGGTCTGTGTTGAGGTTGATCTTCTGAAGGAACTGCCACCATGGGTCTGGATTCAGATGGGGGAGGGGCATGGCTTCTGGCAGCCGCTCGACCCAGAGGGCACTCCGAAATATTGCGATCACTGCTATCGGCAAGGCCATGACCAGACAGAGTGCCGCATCAAGCACCCAGAATTGCGCCCAAAAATTTCTCATGGAGAGGAGAAGATGGTGCCAAGTAAGGACACTATGCTGGCTCCTGGTGCAGCGGGGAAGGCTTCAGCTCTGGCAGGAGGTCAAGGAGATGCCGTACAATTGGGGATTGAGGTCGTTGGGGTAGGGGGCAGTTCAGCCTGGGGTCGGCAGCGGTGGGAGGAGCTGCTGTCGCTGCTGTGCACGGGCAGACTCCGCGACCTGCTGCAGCTGGGGTGCAAGAGCAGGCTGGGCCTATTGCCTAGTGTGCTGGAGCAGGCTGCGCGACCTGCTGTTGCTGCTGCGCCTGGACAGGCTGAGGCCCAGGTACGACTCCCATTTTTGGAGAGTGCTCAGGAGGGGATCCCTGCTGGTTGGAATCTCTTGCTGCGGCGGGAGAGTTTGGCTCTGTCGAGGGGACAACAGAGCAGTCCGCTTCTCTACTTGCATTGGAGGTGGGTGTGTCATCTTCACCAACCATTGGTGAGGTAGCTCCTAAGCCTGGATTGGGGGTCGGTGACGAGCTTGGCGATGGCCCAGAGCCGGGTGAGGTACCAGGGGAGGATAGGAGTTTGGTGCAGCTGCCCGTTTCAGCAGGAAACCTCTCATCGTGAGGTCTATCTTCTATTGAGGTGGTACTGCCAAGGATCTCAAACGATGCCCGGGTGTACGGGATGATTCACTTCAGGTGGTCCAAAAGCACAAGGACTATCGCTCAATAGCCCCGACAGATAGAACTCTCCGCTCTTCAGTACCCAAATCGCAAAATTCCTTTCAAGCATTGTCTGATGATTAGCTCACTCTTCTGGAATATAAGAGGTTTGTCCAAACCTTCTCATATTAGACGTCTTCGTAAAATTATCTCACAAAATCACATTCAGCTCTTGGTAGTTTGTGAAACTCGAGTAAATTTTTCGCTCTCGGAAGGCTTTAGACAAAAGCTCCGTTTTGACACTGTAGTTAGTAATACTTTTGGCTCCTTATGGTTGTTTTATAATGACCCGTTTAAGTTGGTAATGGTGGGTGAGGGGGCGCAGCATGCCTCGTTTCTCATTTACCATAATTGTCTGCCCATAACTGTGACTATCTCCGTCGTTCATGCATGGTGCACGAGGGAGGAGAGAAGGGCACTGTGGAGTGGCCTGCTGCGGGACAAACCCTTGCATGGGCCGTGGCTAGTTGGAGGGGACTTTAACGTTGTGGTTGAGGCGGGGGAAAAGAAAAGAGGGTTGCCTTTCTGTTTATTAGAGGCGCTTGACTTTTTGGACTTCATGTCCTCCGCGGAGCTGTTTGATGCTGGTTTCTCGGGCTCCTCGTTTATGTGGTGTAATAATCGCTTGGGTCGGGCAAGAATTTGGAAACGGCTGGACCGGCTTTTACTTAATGCCTCATGCTATGATGTTGGTCTTGCAGTGTCGGTCTCCCATCTAGCTAGGGACCCGTCTGATCACTCTCGCCTCTTGCTCTCTGTCAAGACACTGGAGGAGGGGAAGCCCCGCCCCTTTCGATTTATAAATGCGTGGACCACCCATGCTAGATTTAGGGATGTTGTTCAGTCCTCTTGGCAGCAAGGATGTTCCGGCTCTCCCTTCCAAATAGTTTGTTCTAAGTTGTCCCGCCTAAAAGCGGATATCAAAGGCTGGAATAAATGATGTTTCGAGAACATTTTTGGTAATTCAAGGCGGGCAGAGGAGGCCGTACTTGAAGCAGAGAAGCGGGTGGAAGAGGATGGGTCAAGTGATGCCCAGGAGTCATTACAACGTGCCAATGTTGAGTGGCGGCGTTGTTTGCTGGTGGAGGAGAATTTTTGGAGGCAAACAGCAAAGGTCCTATGGCTAGGCTTGGGGGACAAGAACACTAAGTTCTTCCACTCGGCAGTTAAGCAGAGGAGACTACAATCTTTTGTTCATTGGATCCAGGATGATCAAGGCAACTGGATTGCTTCTGAGAAGGGCATTGGTGCGCTTCTGAGAAGGGCATTGGTGCTGTGGCTGTTCGTTATTTCTCATCTCTTCTTGGGATTTATCATCCATTATCCCCAGACTAATTCAAGACTCCGACAATGAGTTATTGGAGGGGTTCCTTCGATGGAGGAGGTGCGCCGGGTGATTTTTGCTATGGATAGGATAGTGTTTGCGGGACCTGATGGGTACCCGGGCAAGTTTTTCACATTTGCTTGGGACATCATTGCCCAGGACATTTATAATATTGTTGTTAGTTTCTTTTGTGAGAGGAGGTGCCGCGGAGGTCACAACAACATTTATTGTGTTAATTCCAAAGGTGCTGAACCCAGCCTCCTTTGCACAGTTTCGGCCTATAAGCCTGTGCAACTTCCTCAACAAAATGCTTTCCCGAATTCTTGCAAAGAAGTTAGCTCCACTGCTGCCCCGTATTATCTCTCCTAATCAAAGTGGATTTGCCCGTGGACGTCAAATCTCCGATAACTATTTACTTGCTCAAGAGGTGATCTCGGGGATTGGAAGGAAAAATAGGGGGGAAATGTAGCACTGAAATTGGACATGACAAAGGCCTATGACAGGGCCTCATGGGCCTTCTTGGTCAATGTATTACGTACATTTGGCTTTGGCGAAAGGTGGATTGATATGGTTTGGCGTCTGATTTCCAATCCATGGTTCTCGGTTCTCCTTAACGGGATGCCTCATGGCTTTTTCCCTGCTTCGCGATGGCTCCGGCAGGGGGACCCGCTCTCCCCTTCCTTGTTTATTTTAGGAGCAGAGGTCCTATCTCGTATGTTAAACCAGCTGTTGCATCGCCCTGGGTTTTGTGGGTTCAAGGTTCCTAGGGCTTGTCCTTCTATTACTCATCTGGGTTTTGCGGATGATATCCTTATCTTTTCTAATGCGTCCACGTCTTCCTTGAAGATGCTTATGGAGACGTTGGCATGGTATGAAGGGGTCTCAGGGCAGAGTATAAATATCGTAAAGAGTGGCTTTATGGTTCACACGACGTTGCCTCGGGCAGGAGAGCTCTAATCCAGCGTATTACGGGCTTCTCGCAAAGGGAGTTTCCGGTTTGCTACCTTGGTTGTCCGCTATTTGTGGGAAGGCAGAAGAAAGAGTTCTTTCAGGACTTGAGCAATGCGGTGTACTCTAAGATCAGCTCTTGGAAGAATCGACTGCTATCTCCGGGAAGTAAGGTGGTTCTTATCAAACATGTGCTGTCCTCGATCCCTCTTCATTTATTGGCCATGGCTCACCCTCCGAAGTCGACGTTGGGCTCACTCGAGAGGCTCTTTGCCAACTTCCTTTGGGGAGCCGTTGAGGGTATAGCTAGGCACCACTGGATTCGCTGGAGAGACCTTTGCGCTGCTAAGAAGGAGGGTGGGGTAGGGTTCCGGTCCTTGTCCGACGTGGCTAGGGCTCTCTCGGTGAAGTTGTGGTGGAGGTTTCGACAGAAGTCGTCCCTGTGGGCTATCTTCATGATGGCGAAGTATGTCACTCATGCTCACCCAGGGATGGTTGGTGGCTCAGTGGAGGCTTCAGTCACGTGGCGCAGGATGCTCCAGGTGCGGGAATTGGCTGAGCGGCACATCACCTTTGTTATTCGATCGGGGAACTCTCACTTCTGGTTTGATAACTGGCTAGGTTCTGGGCCGCTGTCCTCGCGATTGGGAAGTGTGTCGGATCATAGGATAGCCGATTTCTTGTTAGATGGACGATGGAACTACCAACTACTGGCGGAATGGGTGCCTGCTGATATAGTAGCCGAGATCACCCGATTTACCCTTCCGCGGATTGAGGTGGGGGGAGGACGGTATGGTATGGGCCCCTTCACAGTCTGGGGTTTTCACGGTGCGCACGGCTTTTGAGTTGGTGCGCTGTCATAGGCCGCGATCATTTATCTTCTCTCGGGTATGGCATCCGATTGTCCCGGTTAAAATTTCATTCTTTATGCTTCGACTACTGCGAGATCGATTGCCACTGGACTCTACGATAAGTAAATTTGGTATCTCGAGTCCCTCAAAGTGCTTTTGTTGTACGGAGGCTAGGGTTGAGACTCTAGACCATCTATTTTGTGGGGGTGAGGTTGCTGGAGCGGTTTGGCAATTTTTTAGCGCTCCTGCGGGGGTTTTGTATGTCGGTGCCTCACTACGAGGGTACATGGCTAGTTGGTGGTTTACTCCAGGTACGAATGAGTTCCTACAGTTTGCCCATTTGGTTGTCCTGTCTTTGATCTGCTGGAATATTTGGAAGGCTAGGAACAAAGCGTGATTCGAAGGGGTCGCTTACTCTCCACATGCTATTCGGGGATTTATTTTCGACGATGTACGGAATCTCTTCTATCTGAAGTATCCGGGTTCCTCCTGGGCTCTCCCTACATGGCAAGCTTTCTACGAGTCCCTCGGCTCTCGTTGCGGTCACGAGTCTTTCAGAATGGTTAAGTGGTTGAGGCCGGCAATGGGGGAGCTGAAACTCAACACAGATGGTTGCTCCAGGGGCAACCCGGGCCGGGCAGGAGGTGGCGGTGTCTTACGTGATGGTGAGGGTAAGCTCTTGTTCACTTTTTCCACTTTTACTGGGAGCTGTTCCAGCATCCAGGCTGAGGCAAGGGCTCTTCTCTTTGGGGTTCAATTGTGCATTGCCCGTGGCCATGTGAGAGTGCACGTGGAGGTGGACTCTCTAGTTCTCATTCATATCGTTCAGCAGATAGTCCAATGCCCGTGGAGTTTTGATATGGAGGTCCGATCCCTCCTGCAGCTGCTGCCCCATGTCGTTAGCATTACTCATTGCTTCCGAGAGGCTAATCAAGTGGCTGATATTTTATCTAATGTTGGCTGTGACGAAGGCTATGACAGAACCTATCACCATCTTTCGGAGCTCCCTACTCATGCCCGAGGAGCATTTAGGTTAGACAGGCTTGGTCTTCCTTCCCTTCGAAAATGCTAGGTCCACCCTAGTCTGAACTCATGCGTTGCCCTCCTGAGAGGTACGGGCTATGCCCCCTCTGGCACTGGCTATTTGTTTGAAGGAATAAAATCAGTAGTGTGTTCTTGAGAAAAAAAAAGAAAAAAAGATTATATTTAAAAAAAAAAGGTTTACTGTTTGTGAATATTATAGTTGACCTTGCTTTTGTAAATCTTCATTAAAAATTGTCCAAATTGTACTGGTAGTGATTTTTCTGTAGTCCTAAATATGGTAAGGATTCTAATCAAGCAATGTTTTGTTGGATACTGGAAAGCTACACAAAAGATGCGACAATTTAATGTAGTTCACATGATGATGGGTTAAAAAAATTCTTAGTTTTCTTTAAAATGGTTGCAAATGAAAGAATATACACAATGATGTATAATTACATCATCGACAAGAAGCAAAAATGATGCAAGGTTGCTACAAATAATTATCTACACCCAAAGTCTCTCGGTGCTTGTGGTAATGTCCATATAGCATCCAAGTATCACTGACAGAAGATTTGGTTTTCACTAAAATCCACGGAACAACAACAGCTTTTCCTGTTTTTCACTTAGCCTGAAACAGGTAAGTGTAATGAAAAATTTTATCATCGTTTGAACCCTTGCGAGCAATTATTGGGTAAGTCTAGTAAGTAACTTTTGACTAATGAAAATGCTCCAAACTGTGGGCTTTATTCAATCAGTGTTGTCTCTCCTTAAACCAATGAAATTGATTTGAACTTTTCTGGACTCTGCTTGAACTAAAATAGTAAATACTACTGTCTGAAAACTTTGTAGAATACTAGAGATTTTTTGTCATTTAATTTTGCTTCTGCTTGACTAATTGGACGTTAGTAAGTATAGAAATTTAGATAAATATGTGTTGGTGACATGTTTGACATAACGACAATTTGGTTTGCTGTCAATTAGGACTAATCTTCAAAGCACACTATTGACTGCTTGGCTAGTCTTGCCTACTCGATGTATGTTAATTGAACGGACGTCCAAAAATTAAAGACCTAACAAATACACTAGAAACTCAAGCATAACATTGAATTTAGATGAATGATTATTTAGTCTGATGAGATTTTTTTAATCTTTTCAAATGGGTATTTGTTTCTAAATTGGCATGAGGATTGTTTTTATCGAATGGGATTTTCAATTCATGTGAAGGATATCTACGTCTACAGGAGATAAGAATTTAGGACCTTGGCTTTTATTGATTGGAGTATCCATTCTTCTTCATACTATTCATGATGCTAATAAAGGTTAGCTGATTTGAATGTTTGAGATATTTGGGTTGCTTGCAACAATCTCTGAAATGGAATGGAAAGTTAAAATTAATGTAGACTAATTGAAAACATCAGCAGGGTGAAAGAAAGCTTGAGAAAATAGAGGGGGAAATAGGAATTCCAATAAAACAGAAGTACATAGGTAGATGTAGTAAAAATTAATCATTTTGTTTGTGGGATTATTGATTCTTGGTATTTGAACTTTTCCCATGGCACTGATAACTAGGACAAATTTAAAACTGAGAATAAGGTGAAAAAAAAACCAGAGAGGTAAATGATTTTATTGCCGTCGAACCGCTGAGATTCAAAGCATTTCCTGTTTTTGTGTTGTGTATGTACATCAGCTTTGGACTTATTACCACACACTTCAGAGGCTTAAGGTGAATAGTTAAGTTCCAGCATTTTAATTCGCTTTTGGGTTGATGCATAAAAACTATATTGTTGTTACTATTAAGTTTAGAATTGATTAAATGGTGCAAATTAATTGATTTTTACATGCTTTTCATGTTTGTTTTTTCGTATGATGAGTGCTAATTGAATCTTGGCTCTGCTTGCTTTGATTAAAATAATATAGAGTTGTCAGTCCAAATTTACTTTTGTGTTACATTTCACCTGTTTTATTCTGCTAAATACTTACACTTGAGGAATCTTTGATAATTTGCAGTAATTTTTCACTGAATGTTGAATAATACGAATGCGAGATGTTTCTAAAATGAATTGGTTATGTGCTTTTTGTATCATTTATTTTCTTGGGAAGACTACATATCTATCTAGATTCATGGTTAAACTTTTGCTTTCCCGTTACTAATACCACTTCAAATTAATAGAAATAATGAAGTTTAAGTGCTGATATTACAATTTTGAAGTTTTGAAGTTGTACCAATGTTTGTTTATTCAATTTGTTCCTTTTTTTCTTGTAAAAATTAGTGAATAATGAAACTGAAAATTGTTTCTAAAGAACAAAGTACAAAGCACCTCCTTCCCAAAAACCACCATCTTGAGACCATGTTTGCTTAAAGTTGAAAGCTTGCCTATATGCTTGTCATTTTTGGAGCTATTGTTCCATTTCTGAAGAACATGTCACATGATGATGTTGGAGTGTTCATCTAACTTGTGATTGGCTGTTTGATATCCTACTCTGATGTAGGTCGCATTCTAAAATCCTCTTACTTGACCCCTGAGACCTGTTCTCCCCAAGCCTGTGGCTTTTCTGTATTAAATGTGTATAGTCCTGCCCAAATCAATATGATTGAAATTAGCTCAATTTGTTAAGTGTCTGGATACCTTGCCTTTCTAGAAGACTATTAGTCTAGATAGATTCTTACTAGAAGTCCTTTGAATGGATAGTGTACATAACTACCATGACATCATTATATTTTTGCACACTTGTGGTCAAAGCATGCATTATTTATTTACAAATATTTAGAATACCTTGAACACCAATCTTCTTATGCACTGTAAGCTAGTATATTGGTTTTCTACTAATTATTGAACCAAGAAAAGTGTCTATGGCAACCTGATTTGGTAGGACAGTAGATAGAAGATGAGAATATCCATGTTTATGAAAGATGTGTCATTCCTTGGAAAATTCACTCCTTGCTAACATTAAAGCTAGAAGTCAGCATAAGTTCTTCATTTAACATATGTATGAATTTTTCTAGTGCATTTTTGCCTTTCATTTTTAGTTCTATAATGCTATAGCTGTTGAATCTGTTCTTAAGAACATGACATTGTGATGTTTTTCTAGTGCATATTTGCCTCAAATATGGCATCTGAAGCAACATCTCAGTCAAAAGGGAAAGGCAAAGGGTATTTCACTTGGACTCCTGAAATGGATCCGCAATGAGCACCTGTTTTATTGACCAAATGAACCAAGGAAACAAATTAGATGGTAATTAATGTGCACGGAAGACAAGAGCCTACACTATAGTAATGAATGCTTTATTCGATAAGCTCAATATATCTGTGACAAAGGCTAATATTATGTCTCGTTTCAAGACATGGGAGAAACACTATGACATCCTATCCCCACTGCTCCAGTCATGTAACTCTGGGTCTGCAATAATATGGGACTACCCTAGAGGTAGAATTGAGGTTCGTGATGAGAATGTATGGAATGCTCGAGTAAGTGAGAATCCAAAAATTCTTATAGAAAAAAATTGTGGTTGACAATTGGGAGGATATCTGTACATTGTTTTTACAAGATCGTGCAAATGGAGAGGGTGCCTAAACTGCTTTTGAGGCTAATGCTGAAATTGAAGTTGAAGAGTCTTCTAATGTAGAGAAATTGGTTGGCGGGATAAAATCCAACCTCAACAGGAATCATTTGAGATTCATTCACAATCTTTAGAAGATGAAGTTATGAATGCATTGCTAGCTCGACAATGGTCAAAATCAAAAGCTTCATCTTCAACAAATGATCCTGGCACGAATAAGAAACTAACAAGCTCTCAAGCACTTCACAAGGTGTTAGGACAAATGGCAGATTCACTTGATAAGTACTTAAATTCAGAATGCTCAAAAGGTACAACTAAAATGGTGGAAGACAAGTTATCTAAACTTGAATTGGATAGATTTCAATTGTTGAAGGGTATTGATTTACTTATGAATGATAGGACAAAGTATGACATTTTTTTTCGGCCTCTGAGATAACTTAAAAAAGGATTGGCTATTGATGCACATTGGTAATTGATTTTATTTGGCAATCTCCAGTTGAAATTGTTTATTGATAAGTGCATATTATATATGATTATTAATAGCATTTTGTGTGTATGTTTCTACAAATTAGGATTTTATGATGCAACTTGCTCCCTAACCTTCTAAATTTTGTGAATTTCATTTGAACAATTTAATGTGTAAATGTTGGTCATATTTGCAGGAATTGAGAATAGTTATCAAATGTTGGATCAAGTAGGATACATTTCAACTTCCTTAGAGTTTGATTCAACAATACTTTGGAAAGGAAATTGGTTATTCAAGGCAATTATTCTTGGAGCAATACATGAACAACAACATGAATATTTTACATGAGGAATTAGAGATGAATTGGAGCAGAAAAGAAGCAAGAAAACACAGTAAAAGAGAAAACACGACCCTTGAATACACGAGCTAAGGTCGCGTATTGTGCCCAGGATTTCTGCAACTTGTTCTACAACTTGCTCTGTTTTAACACTACTTTTTAGCTTAGTTTTAGACAAGAATTTCAGCTGCACATACTCAAGAAATCCTAGGAGAGTGGAATGGAAGCTTTATGTCTTGTCATTAGACACTTTTTGACTATCTTAACATTATATATGTAAGAATCATTAGAGAAGAGGGAAGTTAGTCATTAGAAAGAGTTTTTTTTTTATCAAATTTTAGCTCTAGAGTTTAGTGTTAGTCTTTTCTTGTTCTTTCTAACAAGAAACTTGTGAAAACAATTGAAGACTTCATTATACAACTCATTTTTGTTGAAGAAATAAAAGATCATTGGGAGCTTGCTCATCATCTTGGCTAAGTTTTCTATTATCTATCTTTTTATTTGTGATTCAATATGTGTTTATATAATGAAACTATGTACTTTCTCGCTATATATCATATGAGTAGCTAAATTTCTAGATCTAGGGAGTAGATGAACCTTATGACTACTTGATATGAGTTGAATATGATTTATACTTGCTACCTCTTGTATTAACTTGTTCATTTATGCATGCTTATTGCTTCTTGTTGTTTGATCTCTAGTAGCAAGTCTTTAGTTGTTATTATTCAATGAAAATTGGTAATAATGATGGAACAACATAAATGGAGCTTAAGGAGTAGACTCATGAGAATAGAGGTACACTTAAGTGAATTATCTTTGCATTTCATGAAGAACAAAGAGTAGATCTAGTGATTCACCATGAGAATAGGGAAAACTAGACTATTCTAAACCACTACATCATGAAAATGAGTTTTAGTAAATATGGAAATGAATCTCTAATTAAACAAGAGGTAAATCTATTCATTCGTATCTTTGATGCCATAAGTGGACTCTATTTCCCTAGATTCAAATGTTTAGTGATATTTCTCCATTGTTTACTTGCAAGTTATTTAGTTAATTTAATTAGATAGTTATTATTGTCATTTTCATTACTTTTATTGATAGATAGTCAAAATAATAGAGCAAGTTAAGGACCCAGTACTTGTAAAATTCGCTCCATGTGGAATAAACCCGATATATGTCTAAACTACTAGTTGACCTGTATACTTGCAATCAAATGGATATATTTTAGAATTGAACTTGTACTCATATTTAAAACCCGTCAAGCTTTTGGCGACGTTGCCGGGGAGTGGCAATATTAGGACCAAATAAGCTTTATTAATTTAGACATTTTCGTTTAATTGTAGTTAAAATTTAGACATTTGTATAGATTTTTTTCGGTTACTATATAGTGTAAAAATACTAATTTTGTAATATTCCTTTTGTTTATAGTGTATGCACCGAACTTTATGGGTAGTCATACCTTTTAATCCGAAAATTGAAAGGATCCTACGTAGACAAAGAAGGCATATGCTACAACAAGAGGAAGAAGAAGTTCAACACATAGAGGGAATCGCTATAGAGTTGCTTTTTGAAGAAGAATGGTAGAAAACAAAGCAAATAGGCGAGCTCTTAGAAATTTTGCTATACTAGAGACACAAGGATTACAAACGAGCATAGTACGGTCAACGGTAAACACTAACAATTTTGAGATTAAATCATCACTCATTCAAATGGTTCAATAATCTCAATTTAAAGGTAATGTTGTAGAGGATCCAAATGCATATTTAACCATATTTTTGGAGATATGTGATAAAATGAACGGAGTTAGTGATGATGCTATAAGGCTAAGGCTGTTTCCATTTTCTTTAAGAGATAAAACTAAAATTTGGCTACATTTTCATACTCCTAATACTTTCACTACTTGGGATGATTTATCTAGAGCATTTTTGAATAAATATTTTTCACCAGGTAAAACGACTAAATTTAGAATGGACATTACTAATTTTAGTCAGTAAGATGGTGAATCATTATATGAAGCGTGCAAAAGATTTATAAATTTGCTGCAGAAATGTCCTCACCATGGACTTCCCGATTGACTAATTTTACAAACTTTCTATAATGGTTTATTTTTCTCTACTAAAACTACTATTGATGCAGCCACAAGTGGAGATTTAATGGGTAAATCACCCCAAGAAATTCAAAACTTGATAGAGGAGATGGCGGCAAACAATCATCAACGGGTAAATGAGCAAGGTAATTCTAGGCACCAAGCAGGTATGATCGAAATGAACACTCTCAATATGCTAAGTGCCCAAATAAATAATATGGTGAAATTACTACATAGACAAGCAGGTGTTGGTCCGAATTCTTCTTCATCTAATGTATATGTGGCTTGTTATTCTATATGTGACGGTGAACATGATACTAACGAGTGTATTGATTTTGAGCAGGCTCAATTTGTTAACAATTACAATAGAAATGTCCAAAATAATCCCTATTCGAATACATTCAATCCGGAGTGGAGAAATCATCCAAATTTTGGATGAAAAGATCAAAATATCCCTCAAAGGCTGACTAATCCACCAAGATTCCAACCAAGACAAATATAAGCGGACACTAAATCGGGTTGGGAGATTGCGGTGGAGAAACTTGCCAAGGTCATTCAGAGAGATTTGAACAAATAGAGGGGAGATTGGACCAATTGACTGGGATTTATAGAAATGTAGAGGTCCAAATTGGTCAAATTGCCAATTCGATCAATAATACGAATCAAGGAGAATTGCCTAGTAAAATGGAGATGAATCCGAGGGAACATGTTAAAACCATTACTCTTCATTGTGGTAAACAACTAGAGAATTCTTTAGTGATTGAAAATAGAAGGAAAAGTGAGAATGAGAAACAAGAAGATGAGAGAATGGACTAAGAGGTAAGTGTAGGGGAATGTAGTAGAGAAAAACTAAGAGAAGATCAACTTTCATCCTCCACTACCATTCCAATACCTCCGACGGTTCCATTTTCTCAAAAAACTCAAGCCAAATAAGCTTGACAAAGATTTTGAAAATTTTATTAAAATTTTTAAACAATTACATATTAACATCCCCTTTGCCGATACTATTTTGTAGATTCCTTCATATGCTAAGTTTCTCAAGGGAGATCATGATTCACAAGAGGAAATTGGAGGATTACGAAACAATAGTGTTAACGAAAGAATGCAGCGCCATTACACAAAACAAGTTGCTGTCAAAATTGAAGGATCCTGGCAGTCTATACCATATACTATCGGTAACATTGAATTCTCTAAGGCATTATATGACCTTGGTGCTGGTGTATCATTAATTCCTTTAACGGTGGTCAAACAATTAGGTTTGTACGAGTTAAAATGCACTAATATTACTCTGCAGTTAGCTGATCAATCTATTAGATATTCATTGGGAGTTTTGGAAAATGTGTTGATTAAATTTAAAAAATTTATCATTCCTGTGAATTTTGTGGTATTAGATATGGAAGAAATATATTTATACACATTATTCTTGGTAGGGTATTTTTAGCAACTGCTAGTACAATTATTGATGTCAAAAATGTCAAACTTAAGTTTCAAGTAGGTGAAAAAGAGCTAAAATTTAATTTGAATGAAATAGAAAAGTACCCTTCTTTTACTGATCATGCTTGTTCCATAAGTACTATTAAGAAACTAACCCAAAGGTTGAGTTGAGTTAACTGTGACTTCGATCCTCTTGAGCTTTGTTTGATGAGTATAGGGATGCAAGAGAAAGATTGTGAAGAAATTAAAGAATTGACCAAGCATTTGGATTCTCAAACACCTTATAAGAGATATAATGTTCATGAAAAGGGCTCCCACCTCCTTCAGAAATTAAACCTCCAAAATTAAATCTCAAACCGCTTCCAAATCATCTAAGGTATGAGTTTCTTGGAGAAAATAGCACTCTACCAATGATTATAAGTACTCACCTAGACGAGAAACAATATATGAAATTGCTTAGAGTTCTAAGGAAGCACAAGAAGGCAATTGAATGAACAATCTCAAACATCAAGGGTATCAGTCCTTCCATGTACATGCATCGCATTCTATTAGAAGACAACTGCAAATCGGTGGTGAAAATGCAAAGGAGGGTCAATCAAAATATGAAAGAGATGGTAAGAAATGAAATTTTTAGGTGGCTCGATACAGGTATAATCTTTCTTATCTCTGTTAGTATTTGGATTAGCTCAATTTATGTTGTCCCTAAAAAGGGTGAAATCACACTAATAATGGGCAAAAATGATAAAATTATTCCATTTCGACTTGTAGTCGGATGGAGAGTGTACATTGATTATCAAAAATTAAATGCAGTCACTGGAAAAGACCATTTTCCCTTACCTTTTCTTGATCAACTATTGGAGCAAATAACCGGTTATGAATTTTACTGTTTTCTTGATGGTTCTTCAGGTTATAACCAAATAACTATAGTTCTAAAGGATCAAGAGAAGACCACATTTACTTATCTCTACGGCATCTTTGCATTTAGAAGGATGCCGTTTGGCTTATGTAACGCCCCAACTATATTTCAATGTTGCATGATGGCTATATTTTCTGATTATATTGAGAAAATTATGGAGATCTTTATGGATGATTTTTCAATATTTGGTTCATCTTTTAACCATTGTCTACATGACTTAGATTTGATTTTGCTGCGATGTGAGGATACAAATCTTGCACTAAACTGGGAGAAATATCATTTTATGGTTCGCAAAGGAATCGTCTTAGGGCATAAGATTTTCTTTAAGGGAATTGAGGTGGATAAAACAAAAATAGAAATCATCGAATGAATGCCACCTCAAAACAATGTCAAGGGATAAGAAACTTTTTGGGACACACAGGCTTTTATAGACGTTTTATTAAAAATTTTTCTAAAATAGCAAAGCCATTGTGTGATTTATTATGTAAAAATATCATTTTTTCATTTTGATGACAAGTGCTTAATTGCCTTTGATAGGTCGAAGAAGGAATTGAATTTCGCACCAATTATAACTTCATTGGATTGGTTGCTACCATTTGAATTGATGTGTGATGCAAGTGACTCAGCAGTTGGAGCAGTTTTAGGGCAAAAGAAGGAAGGAAGGATGCATATCATCTATTATGCGAGCAAATTGCTAAATGAGGTGCAAATCAATTATGCAACCACGAAGAAAGAGCTATTGGCAGTCGAATTTGCTTTAGATAAATTTAGATCCTATTTAGTAGGATCTAAAGTCATCATTTATACAGACCATTCTACTCTTAAATATTTGCTCTATAAAAAAGATCCTAAATCTCGTCTAATCCGGTAGATTCTTTTGTTGTAGGAATTTAACGCTGAAATAAAGGATAAAAAGGGATCAGAGAACCTTGTGGCGAATCACCTTTCGAGACTAGAGTATATTCTTACAAATGATCAAATTCCAATGAAAGAGAATTTTTTGGATGAATTTGTCCTTGCAATTATCAATTCTCCATGGTGTGTGAATTTTGCCAATTATTTGGCAAGTGGAATAATGCCAAAGGGTTTTAATTTTCACCAAAAGAAAATTTTTTTGCATGATATCAAAAGTTACTTTTGGGAGGAACCGTTACTTTATAAGCATTGTGCTGATGGTATGATACGTAGATGTATTCCCGAAAATGAGGTACGTGATTTTTTATATCATTATCATAACTTAGATATAGGTGGTAATTTTAGTACTTCGAAGACCGTAACTAAGGTGCGGCAATCGGGATTTTATTGGCTGACCATGTACCAAAAGTTAGGGAATACATTAAAAGCTGTAATGCTCGTTAAAGAACCGGAAATATTTTTAGAAAAATGAAATGCCTTTAACTACCTTCTTAGAGAATGAGTTATTTGATGTATGGGGTATGAATTTTGTGGGACCATTTCCTAATTCATTTAATAATAAAGTACATTTTTATAGGAGTAGACTATGTTTCTAAATGGGTAGAGGCAATTGTTTCACCTTCTAATGATACTAGGTGGTATTTCGGTTTCTTAAGAAGAACATTTTTAATAGATTTGACACTTCGAGAGCCATAGTAAGTGATGAAAGAAAGCATTTTTATAATAAACAACTTGATTTCTTATTACTTAAATATGGTTGTAGGCACAAGACATCATTCCCATACCATCCTCAAGCAAATAGACAAGCGAGTTAGTAAATCGGGAAATCAAACTCATCTTGGAGAAAACAGTGAACAAATCAAGAAAATTTGGGCAAGAAAACTCGATGATGCATTTTGGACTTATCGGACGACATTTAAGACACATTTGACGATATCACTGTATCGATTAGTTTATGAAAAAATTTGTCATTTACTTGTCGAAATTAAACATAAGGCATATTAGGTTATTAAAACAATTAACATGGATTTTAATCTTGCGGGTAGAAGAAGGTTGAATTGAGCGAATTAGAGGAACACCGACTATGTGCTTATGAGAATGTCCAAATTTATAAAGATAAGGTCAAATAGTGGCATGGTAAACATATTATTCCGAAACAATTTGAGGTAGGGTAGGAAGTGCTTTTATACAACTCACACCTTAGATTGTTTCCAAAAATACTTAAATGAGATGATTGAGATCATTTAAAATCACTCAAGTCTTTCTTTATGGAGCAGTAGAGGTGGTCAATGCAAGAAATGAGCGGTTCAAGGTCAATGAACAAATATTAAAACCCTACTTGGTGGGTGAAATCATCCCTAAGGAACTTATATGTCCTTTGGGTGGTTCTTCTTCAACCTAAGGAGCCGATATTTTTTAGTCGAGCCAACGACTATAAACAAAAGCCCTAATTGGGAGGTAACCCAATGTTTTTGTTATATATATTAATTCAATGTGATTTTATGTTTAAAGTATGTATTTAACTTAGTTTGTTGTTTTTGTTTTGTAGGAATTTAAAAATGGAAGCAAAGATGACCAATTGAGGTAAAAAAGGCGAAATTCAATCAAGGAACTCAACCTCTCAATTTGAGCAAATGTTATTTTTGATTCGTTAAAAAGGGATAAAATATATGTTTTGATCATTTTACATGTGCATGCATTGATAATTTCGACA